TTTTGTTTTCTTTATATTGAGATGCAATCCATACCGAAGACTGTGCTCTTTGATCTTCATCAGTATATATTTTAAGTCCTCTTCACTTTCAGCAAGCAAGGTTGTGTTTTCTGCATATCGCAGGTTGTTAATGAGTCTTCCTCCACTCCCGATGCTGCATTCGTCTTCATAGAACCCAGCTTCTCCGATTATTTGCTCAGCATATAAGTTGAATAAGTATGGTGAAAGAATATAACCCTCTCGCACACCTTTCTTAATTTGAACCCATTCAGTGTTCCCAGGTTCTGTTTGAACAACTGCTTCTTAGTTCGTGTACAGTTTTCTCATGAGCACAATTATATGTTCAGGAATATTCATACTTTGCAGTGTTGTTCACGGCTTGTCATGATCCACACTGTCGAAAGCCTTTGTGTAGTCAATAAATCACAGGTAAACATCTTTCTGATATTCTCTGCTTTCAGCCAAGATCCATCGGACATCAGAAATAATATCCCTCATTTCCCAGCCTCTTCTTAATCTGGCTTCAACCTCTGGAAGTTCTCTGTCAATGTATGCTTACAACCATTTCTGTATTACCTTTAGTAAAACGTTACTTGCATGGAATATCAAAGATAGTGTCCGATGATTTCCACATTCCATTTGGTCACCTCTCTTTGGAATGGGCACAAATATGGATCTCTTGCAATCAGTTGCTCAGATAGTTGTCTTCCAAATTTCTTGGCATAGATAAGGAAGTGCTTCCTGTGCCTCCTCACTTTCTTGAAAGATTTCAATTTTTATTCTATCAATTTCTGGTGCCTTGTTCTTTGCTAATTCCTTCAGTGCACCTTGGGCTTACTCCTTCAGTATCATTGGCTCTTGATTACATGCTACCTCTTCAAATGGTAGAACATCAACCATTTCTTTTTGGTAAAGTTACTCTGTGTGTTCTTTCCATCTTCTCTTGATGCATTCTGCATCGTTAAATAATTTGCCCAGAGACTCCTTCAATAACGAAAGTCAAGGCTTGAATTTTTTTTCTTCAGTTCCCCCAGCTTGAGAAATGCTGAACGTGTTCTTCCTTTTTTGGTTTTCTGACTCCAAATCAGAAAATTTCTTGTAATATTTGACTTTATCTTCTCGGGCTGACCTTTGAAACTTTTTGTTCAGCTCTTGTACCTCCTCATTTCTTCCATTTCTTTTAGCATCTCTATGCTGAAGAGCAAGTTTCAGTGTCTATTCTGACAGCCATTTTGACCCTTTCCTTTTTTCTTGTTTTCTTAATGACTTTTTGCTTTCTTCCTGTATGATGTTTTTGATGGCATTCCACAACTCTTTTGATCTTCTGTCTTTAGTGTTTAATGTATCAAATCTGTTCTTCAGATGATCACTAGATTCAGGTGGGATATATTCAAGGTCATGTTTTGGCTCGTGTGGACTTGTTTTAATTTTCTTCAGCTTCAGTTTGAATTTGCATGTGAGTAATTGATGGTCTGTTCCACAGTCTGACCCTGGACTTGTTTTGACTGATGATATGGAGCTTTTCCATCATCTCATTCCGCAGATGTAGGCAATTTGATTTCTGTGTATTCCATGTGGCGAGTTCCATGTGTATAGTCAGTCATCTCTTATGCTGTCTAAAGAAGGTATTTGAAATGAGCAATTCATTGATTTTGCAGAATTCTGTCATGTGATCTTCAGCATCATTTCTCTCACCAAGGACATATTTTTCAACTACGATCCTTCCTCTTTGCTCCCAACCTTTGCATTCCAATCACCACTAATGATCAATACATCTTGATTGCATGTTTGATCCATTTCAAATTGAAGAAGTTGGTAGAATTCTTTTATTTCATTCTCACTGGCTTTAGTGGTTAGTGTATAACTTTGAATAACAGTGGTATTAACTGGACTTCCATATAGGTGCATGGATATTATCCTATCACAGACAGCGTTGTACCTCAAGACTGATCTAGATATGTTCTTTTTGACAGTGACTGAAACACCATTCCTCTTCAATTTGTCATTCCCATCATAGCAAACCATGTGGTTGTCAGATTCAAAATGGCCAATGCCAGTCCATTGAAGCTTAGATATTGATGTTTATGCATTCCATTTCATTTTTGATAATTTCTAATTTTACTAGTTTCATACTTTGTACGTTCTGTATTCTGATTATTAATGGATGTTTACAGCTGTTTCTCTTCATATTGAGTTGTGTCCCACCAGCAAATGAAGGTCTTGTGTGTTTATTCCCATGGGCTTTACTCCATTCACATCATCATGGTCAACTCTACTTTGAGGAGGCAGCTCTTCCCAGTCACATTTTGAGTGCCTTCCAACCTGAGGGGCTCATTTTCCGGCACTATATCTGACAGTGTTTCTTTGCTATTCATAAGGTTTGCAGTGACTAAATATTCGGAAGTAGTTCGTCACTCTTTCTTCCTAATCTGTCTTCGTCTGGAAGCTCATCTGAAACCTGTCCACCGTGGGTGACCTTGCTGTTATTTAAAATACTGGTGGCATTGCTTCCAGAATCACAGCAACTCACAAGCCACCACCATATGAGAAACTGACAGAGGAGT